TCTCTTCACGTCGAGGAAATCTAGCGTGCTGAGAGTGTCACTCATGACACCTACACAAATGATGTCATGCTGGGAAATCCACTCTACTTTTGCGTCCATTGATTTCAATCAGTAGTTTTCAGGTTCCCTGGTGACAGTGTTTAAAGCCTATTTCATTGTGTAAAACCAATGGTTATTTTTTAATCCATTTTAAGATTCACAGTCATTCGATACAATTTTTCTTTAATCCTTACAACAGGCTAAGAGTTTTAATCAACAACTTGAGTCTCTGTCCCTAAAAAAACCTGTCTCTAAAAAAAATTATTATTCTGTTCTTTCTTGCCAGGGGAAATCTTTTGTTTGCCAGACTTAAACATAGGAACCTGCAGCTTTCTGTACAGGGCAAGACTTTGAACTTGCAGAAACAGTTCTGCTTTTGCTGTGCTGACCTACCCTGGACACAAGGAGTCTATCAGCTCTGGTTGCCTATGAAATGTTATATCAGCAGCCATCAAAGATGGCAGCGAAGCTCCTCAACCTGTGCGACTCAGAATGCCTGCTGCTCCCCCATCTGCTTGTGCTCATCCACACCACCATGCCAGGCTGGATGCACTTTCCACGGGGGAGCTCAAGTGGAAGTGGTTCTCATAGTGAACAGCTATTGGAGAGGAATAACGCCATTTGCATTGTACCACCAGACCTACCTCCACAGAAAGCTGGGCCCTTGATTGTTTGTGACTTGTAGTTTCCATATGAAAACTTTTGCTCCTGAACAGTTTGACTCTTGAGAGGGGTTACCAGTTCTGCTGCTGGTGGCCATTTTCTGTAATATAGAAAGGATGAAATAGCAGCAGCCTGACTTCAAATTTGGCAGCAAGTTGGAGTCTGCTTCCATGCCTCAACACTTAATTCAAGCTACTTAGCACTGTAATGTGTAACATATGACCTCTTTGCAAGCCCTAGTTTTACTGCTCATTAGTCTATGTACCTTAACAAGATTTTCAGCGACCTTATGGCTAATAGTCCTCTTTTTCTTAGAAAGATATGTACCTTCCAGCATGATTGCTTGTCAGTAATGTTAGTTAGATTGGAATGAGAAATCATAGAGTTCAAAGCTATTCGAAATGAGCAGTGGGGTAGCAATATCCCAGTTTGTCCTTTTGCTACCCTGTAATGTAAAAATAAAGGGTGCTATTTTTTTTTTTTTTTCTGCTACTGGTGTACCCACACCTTCCAGTAAGGATTTGGGTTCTGCTGTGCTGAGACAGCCCTCAGGAACAAACAGCCTAAGCAATTGTAACAGGCAAAGGAAGCACTTTTAGCCGTGTTTTTCAGATACAAAAGCTGAACGTATAGACTTGCCTGTGATCATGCAGGAAACCAAGGGCAGAACAACACCTTGAACTCAGGCCTCTGTCAGATCTGCATTTTCATCACACTCCTGAGTGTACATATTTGTCTTTGAACTAGTACAGGGGGATATAACACTGCACCAGAGGCGGGTGAGTGCAGGCTCACAGAGCTATTTCTGCAAAGCAGTTCCAAGCGCACTGAATGCAGAGCTCTCCGAATACTTTGCAGTCAGCTCTGTGCAGCATGTCATCCAGGCGTGGAATTCACTGCCATAAGAGGATGTTGAGTCAAAGACTGTAGCCGAGTTTCTTGAAGGGTTGAAAAACAGCCTGGTTAGGTTAGGCAACGGGACTGCCTTTTGTTTTTTGAGGGGTTTAGTTTGTAAAGGGTCTAGGGCTGCTGGGTCCAAAGCTGGGTGCTGATGCTGAGCTGCTAAACCGTCAGACAGAAAATTAGCGATTGTGATTTTCACTAGGACAAGACTCTGTTTTTATTTATGTTTTGCCCAGGAGTGGCAGAAAGAGACTCTTTCTCAGAACTTCAGCAGAAGTTTCTCACAAAACTTTCAGCATATGTGACACTCACTGGGGGGGGGAAGCCTATAGCAGGCTAGACAGGAAATCTGTTTCTTTTTCTTTGCACTTTTGTTTCCACCAGGGCTGGTGAATGCAGCGTGCAAAGTAGCAGTGATTACAGCACAGCTAGGGCTAGAGGATTTTAGAATGGTTTGTACTCTAGAAAAAAAAAAAAACAACAAACCACACCACCATGAAAAAAGAAACATGCCAAAATGGCAAAACACGGGGATAAATAAGGGGAAGGGAAGAAGAGCCCGAATCGGACCGTGATGTCAGGTGGTTAAGTATTTTCAGACTGTCAAGGTGGTGATCTTAAGTGAAGATAATGTATTATGCAGTGGAAAGCTAATGAGACCAGGTCTGTTAAACATGGACTTGGTGTTACTTAGCTCTGGAGTGCTTCAAATTACACAGGCCCAGGTCGTATTTGATCGCCTCTCCCGCTTTGACAAAGTGAGCAGCAGGCTTTTATATAATGTACATGATCATATACTGTAGGGAACAATCCTGCACTGGCAGGGGAGGGAAGCTGATGACATAATGGGTCTTCTCCATCTCGAAGTTATGTGATTCATCAATTAAATGAATTCAGTGGGATAAAGCAGCATGAAAGGGCAATTTCCCTGTAACACGCTGGCTGCTGATTAACTCTTCCCTCCCAATTTCAGCCACACCGCTCGGGATCCAGCCTCTGCTGCAGTGCCCAGGAGG